CTAACTAAATAGCTAGCACTGCTAACACTAAAGAGTTCATCGTAAGTATCAGTTATGCTAATGCTAAATCACTACACCAACATGGTATTTATTTGTAATGCTAATGCTGTTAATACTGCTACGTTCCAGAAGCTAAAGTTAAATTTCTGCACCAACCAGGTATTTAGTAAATTAGCATTCTAAAATGTATTTGGGAAAAATTAACTTCAATATGCTAAGTGTGCTAACGAAAAATTAGCTTAGCTAATAGCGCATTAGCAGAAGTGTTGCCACCTCTGGATAAACTGAATAAAACAGGAGGAGGAAGTGAACCTGGACTGCTGAGGACTGAAGCGTCCGTCCGTCTCTTACTGGACCGTTTCTGTTCCAGCTCCTTCCTGCTTCCTGTCCCCGGACCCCAGCAGACAGGAAGCTGCTGTGTCTGCCTGGCGCCCCTGCTGCACCCGGAGGGCGATCACCTGACCCTCATCAACGTCTACAACGCCTTCCTGGAGCGTGCGTCCCGCCGCCTGCAGGTCCTCCGTCCCAGTGTCTCCGTCTGACATCCCTCTGTTGTCCCCACAGATAACGAGGACGAGGCGTGGTGCAGCGCCACCTTCCTGAGCCTCGCGGCGCTGCGACTCGCCGGGGTCATCAGGGCGGAGCTTCTGGAGGTCATGCAGAGGATAGAGCTTCCCGTTTCCCCGCCGGCCTTCGGGGGCCAGGACAACTGCACCAACATCAAACGCGCCCTCATCTCAGGTTTCTTCCTCAAAGTGAGTTCACCCTTCAGAAGCCCCGCCCCTGCTTCATCACCGCCCTCACCTCCTCCTCTTCCTCAGGTGGCTCACGATGTGGACGGGTCGGGTAACTACCTGCTGCTGACCCATCGCCACGTCGCTCACCTCCACCCGTTCTCCTCCTACCGCTGCCGGCAGCCCAGTTCACCTCCCAGTCCTCCCAGTTCACCTCCCAGTCCTCCCAGTCCACCCAGTCCACCCAGCTGGGTCCTCTACCACGAGTTCACCGTCTCCCGGGACAACTGCATCCGCATCGCCTCCGAGGTTCATCCCCAGATGTGAGTCTGAGTCTCACAGAAACACGACGGAGACGCAGCTGCAGATTATTGTAGAGATTATTCTGTCAAATAATCTGGTGATTTATCAATTATTATTTTGATGAAATGATATTATTTTGATGAAATGTTTCTATATGTTTAGTTTGGCTTCCTCACGGCTCTGACTGTTTTTTTAATCAATGGTTGAGTCCTTGTTCTGCAGTAAGTAATTAATCACCAGCAGCGCCATCAGGTGGCTGAGAAACATGTTTCCAAAACTAACTATAGAAACCGAGAGGCCGATTTACAGAACCAAGACTCTCCTATAAATGGACCCGTCTTTTTCTGCCTCCCATCATGTGGTCAAATCAACTCCAGCTGTTTGGCCAACATGTGATTTAATATTCTTATTATTTTACTTTTTCCAAAATGAGACAAATTCTCATTTATTTTTTATTATCTGTACCAGATTTATTGATCGCCGATCACGTTTTGTATCTTAATTTTCATCCGAAGCTTTAATCATCAAATTATCCTGCTAACATCAGTTAGCATCAGCTAGCATCAGACGCAATGAAACTCCATCGAGAACCTGAAGTTAAAACTGAAACATGTTCACATCCCAACCTGCAGGACAAACGAGCCAAAATATTAACATGGTTATCTACAAATATCAACATTAGCATGCTAGTTTGTTCATTAGCATGCTAGTTTGTTTTATTAACATGCTAGTGTGATCGTTAGCTTGCTACTTTGTTCATTAGCTTGCTAGTGTGATCATTAGCTTGCTAGTGTGTTCATTAGCATGCTAGTGTGATCATTAGCATGCTAGTGTGATCATTAGCTTGCTAGTTTGTTCATTAGCTTGCTAGTTTGTTCATTAGCTTGCTAGTTTATTCATTAGCATGCTAGTTTGTTCATTACCATGCTAGTGTGGTCATTAGCTTGCTACTTTATTAGCTTGCTAGTGTGATTATTAGCAGTAATGGTTAATGTTTGTCTGTTACCTAATCTCTTTATTTTTCCTCAGAAAGGGAAAAATTTTGTCCTAAGAAATTATTGAAACTTCATTTTAAAGGAGTTGAATCAAAAATCCTGACCTTGTGATATTTTACCATAAAAATCTGAGAACATCAACACAACCCTGAATGTTTCAGAAACACGGAGAATAAACGGAGTTTACTGTTTTGTCTCCGTCAGGCTGGTGGAGTTGGCGCCTCAGTACTTCCTGGGAAACCTGCCGGCGAGCGACGGGAAGGAGCTGCTGATGGAGCTGCTGATGGAGCTGCGGCAGAGCGTGGCGCCCCCTGCAGGCCAGCCGGACTCAGGAGACAGAACTCAGAAAGACAAAACGGCCGAGACTCACAGTCAGTCCGGCACAGAGCTGTGCCTGGTCCAATGAGACGGCTGGTTCTGGTTCTGGTTCTGCAATCAAGTTTAATCTGAACTGCTGGATTAGAAACTAATCCAGGACTTGACTCGTATGCAGCTGAAGGACTTTGACACTAATTATCTTCTATTTGCTGTTTTAATTTAATGAGTGGTGTCGGTGTTTCTGTTGGGTTTTTCAGTTCATCCAGAACCTGAATGGGTTCACTGCGGTTCTGTTTCCTCTCTATGCAGACGAGGTTTACTCAGATTATTACGTTTTCAAACCCAGCCTCTTTCCCAACACGACGTTTCTGTCTCTGTTGTTTTTATTTGCAATATAAATAAAATGATCATTTTTGAAATGTGAAAAACTTTTTTTTATGCCTGATTAAAGATTTCCACGCACAGCATGAGGAGGTAAATTCATCCTCTAATATTCATAAAAATGGAGATGAACTCATGAACGGCTCCAGTTTTATTGCAGATATTTGCAGTGGTTCTGGGTAGACCCGGGAAAGGTCCGGTTGCTTCACTGCTGCCGGAGGAAGTCCTTGGTGTTTTCCTGGGCGGCGCTGCTGCTGCTCACCGGCAGGTTCTTCATGTCCAGGACGTTCTCCTTCTGCGCCTTCAGCTCCAGCTCCGTCTGGGACCGGATGGACTGCAGGGGAACGGAGTCGGGTTAGGAACCGGTCCTCCTGCAGGACTGACCTGGACGCAGCAGGAAGTACCTCCAGGTCTTTGGTGATGGAGTGGTTCGGCCCGTGAGTGACCAGCATGATGCGGTAAGCCTCACAGATCATCTTGTGGCTGACCTCCACCTGCCCGGCGTGCCAGTGGGTGACCCCTGACCTCATCAGGGCCAGGCCCAGCTGGGAGTTGTTGGGGTGATACAACTTCCTGTTTGGGAGGAAGGACAAAGAGAAGACCAGAGTCAGACTTTCAGGATGCACTGTCTCACCTCACACCTCTCACGTCATCTGCTGTACGTTTGTCTAGTCAAAGTCCGGTTCTGGTGTGAATGCTAAGCTAACGGTTCGGTTGATTTCTGGTCTTCAGCCAAAGACTAGAGAAATCCTCCAACATAAACTCTGACGCCTCCATCTTGTTTCAAACAGGAAGTTGCTCTCAGTGTCTTCAGAGGTTTTAGTGTCGTTTCCTGCAGTGGTTGTTGGTGCAGCGCCCCCACAGGGCAGGAGGGGAACAGGCTGGTTTGGGTCAGAGCAGCTGGTTCTTGGTCTCCTTTGGTCCCAGTTGAACCGGGTCAAACTGGACCATGTAAACAGCCTACAGGAACATGTCTTCACATCATTCAGATTTACGTTCACTTGATGTTCTCATGTACTCACGTCAATCCTTCCACCATCTTGCGAGCGAATCCTGCAGCTTCAGAGAACTTCCTGTGGTGGGTCAGCACCTCGGCCAGGACGGACAGCACCTTGAGTTTGTACAGGTGAGTGTCTGCCAGGACGTCCTGCTGCTTCTCCAAACACTCCTGGCACAACTTCAACACCTGAGGCAGCAGAGAAACACTCAGACTGAGGCGTTCAGGGCCGGGCCGGCGGGACGGGATGGGACAGGACGGGACGGGGGAGGGACAGGACGGGACAGGCCGGCGGGACGGGGGAGGGACAGGACGGGACAGGCCGGCGGGACGGGATGGGACAGGACGGGATGGGGGAGGGACAGGACGGGACAGGCCGGCGGACGGGGGAGGGACAGGACGGGACGGGCCGGCGGGACGCAGGCCTACCTGGCTGTGATCCCCGTCTCTACGAGCTTTCTCAACCTTCTCCAGGGTCTCCTTACTGAAGGCGCTGACCTGTTTCACCGCGTCCGCAGAGGGCTGTGAGGAAAACCCGGTGAGGAGAGCAGGGTGGCATCCTGAAGAAGAAGCCAGAACGTTTCGCTGACCTTTGCCTCGGCAGCCGCTGCCATCAGGTCGTCACCAACTCGGCGGCTGCAGTGATCGCAGCTGCAGTCGAAGTGGAAACGCTCCTTTAGCTGTTTCTGGCGATCCGCCGACAGGTTGAGGACGTCCACGTAGCTGATGGTGAGCTCCTCGCCCTGGCAGATCCTCCCCAGAGCGCGCAGCTCCATCCTGCAACACCAACGGAGGGAGAGCTCAGTTCTGGTCGGGTGAAGCTGATTAGTGCGGCCGGGTCCGGTGGGAATGGTCTGTGGTACACACCTCAGCGGAGAGTGGAGGGTGGAGTTCACGGCTGATTGGCTGCAAAAGACAAACATGAAATGTTTATTTGTGTCAGAGACGATCAGTCCGTGTCCTCTGATGGAGACCAGTGGACCGATTCTGTCTTCATCCAGCATGTCTACTGTCCGTCCTGCGAGGAAGGCCAACCGTCTTCCTCTGGTCTCCAACAGTTCGGTTTGTCCTTAAGAGAAGAGATGGGTGTGGGACTGGGCCCGGTGTGGGACTGGGCTCCTGTGTGGGACTGGGCTCCTGTGTGGGACTGGGCCCTGTGTGGGACTGGGCCCTGTGTGGGACTGGGCCCTGTGTGGGACTGGGCTCCTGTGTGGGACTGGGCCCTGTGTGGGACTGGGCTCCTGTGTGGGACTGGGCCCTGTGACTGGGCCTGTGTGGGACTGGGCTCCTGTCCGGTTTGGACCCGGCCGTTGGGAACCGTCTCCTGAGCAGAGACTGAGCAGAGAGGACAGGACTGGACTGTTGGAGTCTGGATCAACTTGGTTAGGATTCAGGGAAACACTTGAATCTGGATCAGTGGATTGTTGTCCACCGAGCCGTTCAGAACCAGAGACCCGGACAGAACCGCTGACAGGCTCCACAAAAACACCCGCAACTAAACGAAAGTTTCTGAACAGTTTACCTTTGTCAGATTTTGGACATCAGGGCCTTTTAACGTTAATCTGATGAATTCATTTCTGTTCTAAGTGAAGAGAATCAAACGTTTATCCGACCTTCAGGTTTCCTCCTGGAAGCAGATCACACAATCGTCTGCAAACAGTCTGAGTTTTTTCATCTGTCCCTCTCGCCTCACACCTCACCTCTGTCTCACCTCACTGCTGTCTCACCTCACCGCTGTCTCACCTCACACTGCTGTCTCACCTCACCGCTGTCTCACCTCACGGCTGTCTCACCTCACTGCTGTCTCGCCTCACTGCTGTCTCACCTCACGGCTGTCTCACCTCACGGCTGTCTCGCCTCACCGCTGTCTCACCTCTGCTGTCTCACCTCACTGCTGTCTCACCTCACTGCTGTCTCGCCTCACCTCTGTCTCGCCTCACCTCTGTCTCACCTCACTGCTGTCTCACCTCACTGCTGTCTCACCTCACTGCTGTCTCGCCTCACCACTGTCTCACCTCACTGCTGTCTCGCCTCACACCTCACCTCTGTCTCACCTCACTGCTGTCTCACCTCACTGCTGTCTCACCTCACTGCTGTCTCGCCTCACCACTGTCTCACCTCACTGCTGTCTCACCTCACGGCTGTCTCACCTCACGGCTGTCTCGCCTCACCTCTGTCTCACCTCACGGCTGTCTCACCTCACGGCTGTCTCGCCTCACTGCTGTCTCGCCTCACCTCTGTCTCACCTCACGGCTGTTTCACCTCACGGCTGTCTCACCTCACGGCTGTCTCGCCTCACTGCTGTCTCGCCTCACCTCTGTCTCACCTCACTGCTGTCTCACCTCACCGCTGTCTCGCCTCACCTCTGTCTCGCCCACCTCTGTCTCACCTCACTGCTGTCTCGCCTCACCTCTGTCTCACCTCACCGCTGTCTCGCCTCACTGCTGTCTCACCTCACTGCTGTCTCACCTCACTGCTGTCTCACCTCACTGCTGTCTCACCTCACTGCTGTCTCGCCTCACCTCTGTCTCACCTCACTGCTGTCTCGCCTCACTGCTGTCTCACCTCACTGCTGTCTCCCCTCACTGCTGTCTCGCCTCACTGCTGTCTCGCCTCACCTCTGTCTCACCTCACTGCTGTCTCGCCTCACTGCTGTCTCGCCTCACTGCTGTCTCGCCTCACTGCTGTCTCACCTCACTGCTGTCTCACCTCACTGCTGTCTCACCTCACTGTCTCGCCTCACTGCTGTCTCGCCTCACTGCTGTCTCACCTCACCGCTGTCTCACCTCACTGCTGTCTCACCTCACTGCTGTCTCGCCTCACTGCTGTCTCGCCTCACTGCTGTCTCACCTCACTGCTGTCTCACCTCACTGCTGTCTCGCCTCACTGCTGTCTCGCCTCACTGCTGTCTCGCCACTGCTGTCTCACCTCACTGCTGTCTCGCCTCACCTCTGTCTCACCTCACTGCTGTCTCGCCTCACTGCTGTCTCGCCTCACTGCTGTCTCGCCTCACTGCTGTCTCACCTCACTGCTGTCTCACCTCACTGCTGTCTCCCATGCTGCATGAATCTGAAATGTTTCTGGATCTTCTGACGTGACGTCAGCTTTAGACAGATTTAATGGTTACTTTTGTTTCAGAGTGACTCCTTCTGACCCTTGACCTTCTTAAACCTTTTCCATAACCTCCGCTGACCTTCACATCAACTTTTTCTACGTCCACCGTAGAAATCACCTACTTTCCGTGGTTGAGTGTGGCGGTGCAGTTGGGCCAGCAGTCGTGGTTGACGAGGCTCAGATTGGGGAAAAGTCCCAGACCGACCGTCTGCAGACCTCTCTGGTCGGGAAGCGTCAGTCCATTGGATTTAATCTGCAGAGACACAGAGAGGTCAGCGGAGAGGTCAGAGACCGGCAGAGACGGGCGCAGCGTCACGGCGGAGGAGAATCGACTGACGAGGCCGAAGACGTGGCTGATGAAGTCGGCCTGGTGCCGCTTCGACCCGCAGGACCAGAACCTGAGGAAGGTCTGGACGTCCGCCTGCAGCGTCTTCAGTTCGTCTTCAGGCAGATCCTGCAGATGATGCTGCAGCTGATCCACGGCCAGCAGCTGGCTGTCCGACGCCAAGCCCTGGTCTCTGTTCTTGCGCCACAGCAGCCGGGCGGCCAGCCTGCGGCGAGAGAAGAACCGACTCAACCGGGTCAACAGAAACATGGACTCCAGTTCATGTTCACATCTTTAGCACTTTGTGGAAAACTCCCAAACCTTCAGCTCTCATGTTTAGGAGTCTCCAGCATGAACCGACCAATTTATCGCTTTGATTGAATCAGATTTTTCTACACGATCCATTCAGGACTTTAGTTCTGACCGATCATGAGACACGGTTGGTGTTGGGGTCAGTGTTGGGGTCAGTGTTTGTGTTGGGGTCAGTGTTGGTGTTGGGGTCAGTGTTGGTGTTGGGGTCAGTGTAGGGGTCAGTGTTGGTGTAGGGGTCAGTGGGGGGTCAGTGTAGGGGTCAGTGTTGGGGTCAGTGTAGGGGTCAGTGTAGGGGTCAGTGTTGGGGTCAGTGTAGGGGTCAGTGTAGGGGTCAGTGTTGGGGTCAGTGTAGGGGTCAGTGTTGGGGTCAGTGTTTGTGTTGGGGTCAGTGTTGGGGTCAGTGTAGGGGTCAGTGTTGGGGTCAGTGTAGGGGTCAGTGTAGGGGTCAGTGTTGGGGTCAGTGTTGGGGTCAGTGTTGGTGTTGGGTCAGTGTAGGGGTCAGTGTAGGGGTCAGTGTAGGGGTCAGTGTTGGGGTCAGTGTAGGGGTCAGTGTAGGGGTCAGTGTTGGGGTCAGTGTTGGGGTCAGTGTTGGTGTTGGGGTCAGTGTAGGGGTCAGTGTTGGGGTCAGTGTAGGGGTCAGTGTAGGGGTCAGTGTTGGGGGTAGGGTCAGGGTTTGAGTCCCAAACACCAACCAGAGCTCGTCCCTCCTCACCGGACGTTCTCGTTGGGCGCCGCCCCGAGTTTCCTGATGGCGGCGCACTCCTGCTTGTGTCCGTCCCATCCGGCCGTCTGGCAGGTCCGGTTGCAGTAGTGGGCGAAGCGGCACTGGGCGCAGCGGTGCAGGTTGGCCTGGCGACGGAAACAGCTGTGGCACACCTGGGAGGCCAAACTGGGACAAAACACAGCGGAAAGATGCTAGCAGCTAGCATGCTAAGCTACAGAGCTAATCCAGGTTTACATGCAAAAACAATACAGAAACTCTAAGCTAACAGCTAAATGAGACGGTTAAACTTCATGACTGAGATGTCTCTGGTTGCCATGGTGATTCCCACCATTATGGGATGGCAGGAGCCGCAGCATCACTGGTTTTATGTCGGCGGATCTGACGGGTCATCAGAACCTTCAGGTCCAGGTTCTACTTATGAGCAGAATTAGTTTATGAATTAGAAAATAATTATTTTAAACAATGTGGGAAAATTACATGAAAACGGATCCAATCAGTTTTAATCAGAACAATCATCTGATTATTGATGATCTGATCAGTTACTGATACCAAAGCAGAACCTCAACGTTCCTCAGATCCTCATAAAGGAGTTTTATCAAATTATTACTTTATTCTTCTAATATTTTATCTTTATTGCAGAACTTTGACTTTATGACATCATTTCCATCCTGGATCATTTCTATTGATGATCAATATTCTGTTGCAGACATCAAACTGATCAACTGATAGGTATTAGAATATAAATATTAAAACACAGAAAAACATTGATCAGTATTTATTTCAGGTTTCTAATCGTTTCTATTGATCAAACTGAAGGATTAATTATTGATTTTTGGATTTTATTGAACCTGAATCTCTGATGTTTTCTCCACTCAGCTGGGTTCCTGCTGAGTCCGGTCCGGTCCGGTCCGGTCCGGTTCGGCCTGTCACGGTCCGGGTCATGTTACAGTCGTCATGGTAACCAGATCAGACCCCTTTAAATCCTCTGAACCGCAGCTGAACCCGTCCCATCTGGGTTCCGGTACCGGCTCACCTGCTGTGGACCACGGCGGCGTAGCCCGGTTCGGCCAGCAGAACCTCCCCGGTGCTGAGCTCCCTGCTGGCCCGCAGGCCGCGACCTTTCACCCCGGCGTCAAACAGCTCCATGACCGGACCGGTACCGCCGGACGGGCTGAAGGACTCTCAGCCGTCTCTCCTCGGCGCGACCCGCAGGGGAACCGGGAAAGCCCTCCGGACCGGAACCTGCTGAGCCAGGACGGGTCGGACCCTTGTTTGGGTCGGTTCCCCTGCGGGTATTTTGGTCCCAGCAGCTGGTGCCGTCCGTCAGCTGGACCTGCTGCTGTCATCACTGAAACCAGAGCAGACGGACCGGAACCGGACCAGAACCGGACCGGAACAGGACCAGAACCGGACCGGAACAGGACCAGAACCTTCCTGACCCGACTGGACATGAACCAGAACACAGAGGAAGTTCAGTCTGGCACCTGGATAAACAGTGTTTAACCTCTGACCTCTGACCTCCATCTGCCTCCAGAAAATGTTTCATAAATTTAAGTTATAAATCATTTAATTTGTTTATTTGAACAAAAAGCAGAAATACAAAAATATGCAAATTAATATGAAGGAAAAACAAGATTTTATCAAACAGGAAGTGGGATCATCACTTCCTGTCAGGAACCGAACATCGTCACCGCCGATACTCGATACCATGACAACGTCTCTTAAAGGGCCAGGCCTCATCTGGTCAAATGATTGTTTACAATATTTAAAGTTTCATTGCTGACCTTGAAGAAATGATAAAATCTTGGAAAATAAAATATTCCACGGAAGTTATCTTAGGAGGAGATTTTAATATACCTCCTGATGGATCGATTGATCGTCTCCCTCTCGGGGGCAGCACCACGTTTATAATGATATTTTTGTAAATTTGATCTCTAATACAAATTTGTTAGACTGCTGGAGATTTAGAAATCCTGATATCAGACAATACTCCTGGTTCAATCCTTCTGGAAATGGCCAATGCTCTAGGCTAGATTACTGGTTAATCCCACATAATTTAGTTCATAATATCTCAAGTTGTGAAATTTCAGCGGCTCCTTTAACAGATCATTGTTCTGTTACCTTGTTTCTCTTTCTGGATAAATCTAAGCCACCTTCAAACTTAACTTGGAAATTTAATAGTAATTTGCTGAGTATATAATTTTCTGTTCTGAAGTCCTGAACCTCATTAAGGATATTTCAAGTTTGGATCTGTCTCCCTTAAATAAGTGGGAGTGGCTTAAATTTCAGATTAGAACAACTGCAATAAAGATTGGAAAACTAGTTTCAAAGCAGAGGAGACAAGAGCAATCCCAACTTATTAGCAATATTAATTCTCTATGTTCAAAGTCAGTTTTTTAAATCAGCTTGAAGTTTTCAAAACTCAACTAGATGATGTTTTTCTGGATAAGGCAAGGGGGGCTTTTGTTCGCTCAGGGCTCGATGGATTGAGGAAGGCGAAAAAAACTCTTCATATTTCTTTGGTCTTGAGAAACAAAGACAGTCCAAAAAGAAGATTCAGAAACTAATTATTAATGGGAATGTCACTGAAGACCTGGATTTAATAAACGGCAATTAGACATTTTTATAGCAACCTTTATTGTTCTAATATTCGGAATCCAATTGCCAATCTTTTTTGATGAAATTCAGGAATCTATTGAAGAAATTAATCTCGATTTTAAAAGCCTTATGGATGATGACTTGAGAATTGAAGAACTAGACACAGCAATTCAACAAATGGCAAAAGGTAAATCTCCTGGCCTGGACGGGTTAACCATGAATTTTATATTTTCTTTTGGAAAGATTTAGGAAAACTATTATTTGAGGCCCTGCTGGAATGTATTTCAAACAATAGTCTCTCTCCCACCATGAAACGAGGTTTGATTACTCTGATCCCCAAAGCCAACAAAGATCCTTTATCACTGGACAACTGGAGACCTATCACTCTGTTATGAACAGATTACAAACTTCTAGCTCTTATTTATGCAAATCGCTTAAATAGTGGTTTGGATTCGATTATTAATCAGCGTTTTTAAAGGGGAGGAATATCCATCATCATACTAGACTCATTCTTGATATGATTATCGTAGTTTTATTGATAATGATAGTTTTATTTTATTCCTGGATTTTTTTAAGGCTTTTGACTCACTGGAACACTGCTTTATAATAAAACCTTAAAATACTTTGGTTTTGGGGAAAAGTTTTTGCAATATAATCAGATTATTTTATAGTAGCTCAGTTTCTCTGGGAACAAGTTTAACCCCCAGCTTCCCTATGTCACGAGGAATCAGGCCCAATTTCACCTAAATTATTCATATTAACAACTCAAATGCTTACTTTAATAATTCAGAAAAATTTGAATTTGCATGGTATAAACATTTTTGATAAGGAATTCAAGAATAGTCAATTTGCTGATGATACAACCATTTTTTTAAAAGATAAGGCTATGGTTGACATTGCGTTGAAATCTATTTAATGTTTTCAGAAGCGTCTGGTTTGTCTCTCAATATTGATAAATGTGAACTTCTGCCGATCCATTCTAGCTCTGATACGTCAGTTGCTTCCATTACTGTTAAGTCCGAAGTTAAATATCTGGGAATACTGATTTCTAATAATGCTACCAGAAGAGAGGAGGAAAACATTGAAAGATGCTTGGATGGCATGAAGAGATCCTTGAGCCGCTGGTTAACTAGAGATCTGACTATTTTTGGACAAACTGTTTTATCCAAAGCGGAGGGAGTATCCAAATTAATTTCTCCTTGTCATTCGGCCTTATCTCCAACAAAACATTAGAAAAGCTAATTCGATAATCTTTCAATTTATCTGGAGGAATAAAACTCATTATTTACGACGTTCTCATCTTATTAAAGATTATGATAAAGGAGGAATTAGAGCTTTAGATTTTGAGGCTCTGATTGGTTCCTTTAGAATAAACTGGCTAAAGACCTATTTGTCTCATTCCAACTCCATGTGGTTTCATTAAAATCAATATTTAAAAAATTAGGTGGTTTAGATTTCTTGCTTAAATGTGATTTTGAATTAACCAAGATTCCCATTTCATTGTCTAACTTTCATAAACAAGTTTTACACTTTTGGAAAATGATATTTACCCACAATTTTACCCCACATGGATCCCTAGTGTGGAATAACAGATCAATATTACTGAATAGAAAATCTATTTTTAAAACTGACTGGTATGAGAAAATTATTCTATTTGTAACTGACTTGATGGATAGTAATGGTGTTTTGTTAAATCATAGAGATTTTACCCACACATTTAATCTGAACTGTTCTTATATTGAATATGTAAAAGTATGCAGAGATATTCCTGTAGCTCTGCTCCATCTCATCCAAAACACCTTGAGATTTTCAAGTGTTGCTTCATCTTTACCTACATTGAAGATTGGAGAATATATTGTGACTGACAAAAAGTGTAATAATGGTATGCTTGTGACTGCTTTCAAATCTAAATTATTTAATGATTACAATAATATTTTTTTTGGTAACAACTAATTTGTCTTTTATTGAGAAAGCGTTTTCTAAGTATGTTAAATGGCCGGTTTTCACCAAAGGTGAAAGAGACTCATTTTAAATCTCTCACATATTTATCCCGTGGCTGAATTTTTGCACAAACGATTTAAATTTGATTTAACATGTTGTGCCTTTTGCGAATGTGCAGAGGAATCCATAAGTCATCTCTTTTTTTTTCTGTCCTTTTTCTTTTAAACTTTGGAAAGATGTTAAAAACTGGTTATGTCTCAAACTTGAAGACATCCCTGAGATAAATATCACCCACATTTTGTATTATGTTGATAACCTTGATGATCAAATATCTGATATGGTAAATATTGTTTTATTTAACAGATGTTTGTTAAATATCATATACATTGCTGTAAATGGAGAGGTTCTACTCCTTGTTTTGATTTTTTTATTAATCAGTTTAAGATGTTTTATGCTTCCCTGAAACTTTTGAAAACTAGTTATGCAAAAAAGTCACTGACAGTATCTCTACTTTTCTTTTGTTTTGAATCTTGCTTAGTTTTTAGTCATTTGCCTTACAGTTTGTTGTTTTTTCTGTCTGTATTTTCAGCCCCTTGTGTCTTATTTACCTATGTTGTAATGTTCTTTGTACCTCAACGAGTCTTTGTATACTGTTCGCATTAAAAAAAAATAATAATAATATTTAAAGTTTCTATAATTGGGGCAAAAGCAACAATTAACAAATTCATCTCAGAAAAATAAAGTTTTCTGTCAATAACCTCCATGGATCAGTTCATGAGTTAATATTCAAACAGTCTGGAAGGTTCTGTGACCTCTGACCCTTTTAAGGCACCATAAACATGGAATGTTTTCACTAAAACAGGAAAAATTTCATCTCCAGTGGCGACGAGGAAATAACATTTTAGAGCCGAATCTTCAAACTGGTTCCAGAGATTCATGACCGGACCGGTACCGCCAGACAATGAAAACGCTGACATAAAGTCAAGCCTCTAACCTGACCTTTGACCCCAAACACGTCATTTTCTGATGCTGCAGCAGAACTTCTACTAAAGACTTGAACTCCAGCTTCACTCTTCAGGACGGGTTTCTGGACAGAAACCCGTCCAGAACCAGAGAACCAGCATGGAGAACCAAGATGGCGGAGCGTCTGCAGCCGGTTGAACTTAAAGTCCAAGCTGCTCGGTTTGGACTCGGTTAAACTTTAATGAGGTTCTGTTTGATCTGGACGCCGTCCAACATCAAGTCTGTCATTCTGACTCCACTGCAGCTTCTGGTCCAGAACAGAACCAGAACAGAACCAGAACAGAACCTCTCATTTTCACCTTGACTTTCGGATCTCGGTCCGTTTCCTCCAATCCTCTCTGGTTCCTCTGTGATCCAATAAACCAAATCAGTTTTAAGAAAGTTCTTCTGGTTCCAGGTTCTGGATCCTGGTTCTGAGTTTATCACATCTACCTCTACGGCGTAACATTAGTGCCAAATTTAAGACTATTGTGACCCAGCAGCAGCTACTTCCTTGTAGCAGGAGGCTAGTTCTATTCTGGACCCAGTTTCTGATCCGATTGATCCGCCGACATCTGGAACTGATCAATCAGCTCTGGAGAGTACTAGCTAGTATTAGCTCTGGAGAGGCTAACAACTAGCATGTCCAGGATGGACACCTAGTGGGTAGCCTCCTTCTTCTGTTGGAAATTAGCACAGCTAGGCTAGGATTAGCATTGCATAGGCTATCCTATCCAAGGCTAACGTGCAACAGAAACAGAAAGTATGCTAGTAGGTGATCAGCCTTGGTATGCTAGTCACTAGCCTCTCTAAAGCTAACACTAGTCAGCTCTCTCCTGATTTGCCGAACGCTAAATGAAATGAACAATCTGCCTCTGGTCAGACGTCACCAACATCTGGTAACAGCTAATCTGCATGTTGAAACGTTTCCACGGCGACAGGATTAAGATACATCAATTATAAAGTTTCATCACAACATCGACGCTACAATAAAACGAGTTGGCAGTGAGCAGCGGCTACACGTCGAAGACGTCGACATGATCTCCAGAGGTGAACTTGTCCTCCAGCAGCAGCTTCATCAGTTTGGCAGAAGACGCCTCGCAGGTCAGCAGCTGACCCTGAGCGAACATGTTGGAGAACGTCTTCTTGATGCTCGGGTCGGCCGTCTTGGTCCGGGCCTCCACCTGCATCCCAGTGTCCAGCGGTCCTGGTTCAGGAGAGACAAAGGAGACGCATCAACAGCTACAAACAGAGAGAGGCTAGCATAAAGCTATGTAGGGCTAGCATAAAGCCAGGTAGGGCTAGCATAAAGCTATGTAGGGCTAGCATAAAGCTATGTAGGGCTAGCATAAAGCCATGTAGGGTTAGCATAAAGCCAGGTAGGGCTAACATAAAGCTATGTAGGGCTAGCATAAAGCCATGTAGGGCTAGCATAAAGCCAGGTAGGGCTAACATAGAGTCAGGTAGGGCTAACATAAAGCCAGGTAGGGCTAACATAAAGCCAGGTAGGGCTAGCATAAAGCCATGTAGGGCTAACATAAAGTTATGTAGGGCTAGCATAAAGCCATGTAGGGCTAGCATAAAGAAAGGGAGGGCTAACATAGAGTCAGGTAGGGCTAACATAAAGCCAGGTAGGGCTAACATAAAGCTATGTAGGGCTAGCATAAAGCTATGTAGGGCTAGCATAAAGCCAGGTAGGGCTAGCATAAAGCCAGGTAGGGCTAGCATAAAGCCAGGTAGGGCTAACATAAAGCCAGGTAGGGCTAGCATAAAGCCATGTAGGGCTAACATAAAGCTATGTAGGGCTAGCATAAAGCCATGTAGGGCTAGCATAAAGCCAGGTAGGGCTAACATAGAGTCAGGTAGGGCTAACATAAAGCCAGGTAGGGCTAACATAAAGCTATGTAGGGCTAGCATAAAGCCATGTAGGGCTAGCATAAAGCTATGTAGGGCTAGCATAAAGCCAGGTAGGGCTAACATAGAGTCAGGTAGGGCTAACATAAAGCCAGGTAGGGCTAACATAAAGCTATGTAGGGCTAGCTTACAGCCTACCTGGAGAGTAGCTGAGCACGCGCAGCTCCGGCTCCTCCTCGGCCAGGACCTTGAACATCATGTCTCTCGCCGCCTTGCCGCTGCAGTAAAGGCTCCAGGAGCGGAATGGCTTCAGGGCGCAGAGCGACGACACGTTGATGACGCAGCGGCGCAGCCCGGCGCGCGGCGGGAAGGCCTGCAGCAGCCGCGCCGTCAGGCACATGGCGGAGCTGACGTTCAGCGACAGGTAGGCGTCCACCTCGGCCAAGTCCGTGAAGCCCGTCACGAACTTAGAGACGTCGCCCAGAGAAGCTGCGGGCAGAGAGGGAGCTTAGAGCGGTTCCGGTCCAACCAGAACGCGGCGCTGGTTCTGACCCAAAGCCAGAGACCCGCCAGGCGGGTTCGATCCACCAGATCAATGATCCGGATCATTAATGGTTCCGCCAATCAGCTGCAGCGATACTAATGGGAATCTATCAGTTTCATATTTTATGTGTAACATTTATTTTCTGTAATCAATAAATCTTTTAAAATTATTTTCATAAATGTTTACATGTAATAAATAAATCTAAGTGTTTTGTATTTCCAGAACATTTAAATATTTTTCATTTATGTCTAATTTATTTAAATTTTTTATCTGAAAATCTTCCAGTTTTTCATCTGTAATGTTTTGCTTTTTGTTCATATAAAGATATAAACTTTATGTCTCCTTTCAAAACCTATTCTAATAATTATAGCATTAATAATACTAATAACATCAATAATAATATCATTAATATTAACATCAATAATAATATTAATATTAATAACATCAACAATAACATTAATAACATCAACATTAATAATATTAATATTAACATTAATAACATTAATAGTAATATTAACATTAATAACATTATTAATAACGTTAATAATAAGCATGTGTTTCCTCACCAGCGTTATTAATCACTATTATTTTCTCCATTTCATCATTAAAAACTTCTCTGCTTTTTCTCTCGATCTTCTCCAGACTCTCCTCCTTCCCTACATCCGCCTCCACCAGCTCCACCTTCAGTCCGGTTCGGCCCGCCTCGGACTCGGTCAGCTGGGCCCGGACGGCCCGCAGGTCGGCCCCGGAGCGGGCCACCAGAACCAGCGCCGAACCGGGCCGAACCAGGCGGCACAGGTCCAGGGCCACGGCCCGGCCGAAGCCTCTGGAGGCCCCGGTGATGACGCACAGAGCCCGGCCCAGGTCCGCGGCAGGAGGCATGGTGAGGAGTCGGTTCGGATCAGCGGTTCTTCTTCTGCGGTTCCTCGGCCTGCTGCCGCCCTGTCGCCCCCTCCTGGTTTTATACGGGAGCGCCGGGCGCTCTGTCGGCAGAGACGATCTCTGATTCGCAGCGGGGCGAGTGGATCCGGAGCAGATGGTCCCGCCCATCAGAACCTCAGTCAGCGGTTCTGTAATTATTCATAAAACTGTTTCTGTTGATTTTAACTTTCTGCTGCTGCTCCATCGCTTCTTGTGATGCGTAACCATGGCAACTGTGGGACGTGTTTAGCTGATTGCCTGAACTTTGACCCCGACTCAGCTCCATGGATCCAGAAGGCAGAAGCTGAACCTCGTGAACCTCATGATCCCCTCATGATCCCCTCGTGATCCCCTCGTGATCCCCGACTCCAGCATCGCTAACAGGACGCCAAAGCAAAAGCAAAGGAAGCGATGAGCAGATCCACCAACTGATGCAGTGAAGGGAAAATCTGCTTTTCTGCTCTGACTGGACAACAAGGCAGTGAGACGTTAGCATCACTTGGTCATCAGTCTTCAGTCAGAGGCTCCTGTGGAGCCACTGGAACACTGACTGCTACTGGAGATCCTTTAATAACCACATTTTGAATCATCTTGATGTGACTTGTGACGACGGTTGGTACCAGCAGTACCACGAGTTCCTGCCGGTCACGGTGGTTTTGACCCGGTTCATCTCTACATACCGACCCAGAACCCCTGAAGGCGCCTGGTTCTGAAAGCAGCCTGTGTGGCGCCATCGGTTCTGGTTCTGATCCGTGGAGAATTGGGTTTTTAAGGCAGAGACGATTCTTAGAGTGAATAGTTACATTAGGATTTGATCATAAACTGAGTTTTAAATGTTTGATTTGGAAAAAGTGTTTGTTTATAGATTTAGCTTCTGGTTTTGGTTGCATGACATCATTTATGAATGAAACTGAACCGTAACTCCAGATTCCAGTCAGACTGACGGGAAACGGACAGAAAATAAAACAAACTCTGGACTCCAGACCCGCTAACAAAGAGCTAGCTGTGCTAACCCCAGAGCATTAACGCTAATATTAGCTTTGCTAACGTTAAAACTTGATATCAATGGTATTTAGCAGAAGCTAAAGCTAATGCACTAAATTGAACCATGTTAATTTTCAGCAACTGAGGCTCTGAAATGATTCATAAATGTAAATTTGTATTTTTATTTCATTAGCATCCAATGAGCTAAACGCGCTAAGTGTTCTGTCTTAACTTTCGTTCATGGATTCATCATTTCATTTGTTCATTTGTTGTTTACTAGTCATTTCATTCAAACTTCAGTTCAGATGTTGAATTTCATTCAACTCAAAATTTTACAAAAGATAATTTAGCTCTTCAGAGTTTAAGCTATGTGCGCTAAACGTTCACAGAGTTAGCTAATGCGCTAAAATATTAGCTCCGCTGTTAGCGCATTAGCAACCAGTTTTTCACCTCCAGTGTTTTAAAACCTGACTTCCATGGTTGTCTGGAGGCCCAGCGGCCCGGTTCTGGTGCTGAGCGGGTCCAGTTTCCCATGATGATGGGATCCAGGTGGGAACTGGGCTTCGTTTCTCTGTGGTTCCGGGTTTGGGCCCGCGGCGCCAGAGCAGAAACAGTTCAGCAGAACTGTTCCCCCTTCCAGAACCAGAACCGGGTCCTGATGTCACTCAGTCTGGATCTAACTTTATTACAAAACGTTTCTGATTTCAAACAAAGTCCAGTTGGTTTGGTGAAAAGAACATTTTGGTTCTGCTTGTTTCAAATCAGATTCTGAGATCCAGGAAACAGAAACTAAAATAAATCACATCCAGATTGTTGGACCGAACCAGAACATCCCATCAGGTAACGACTCTAAACACAGAAACGGGTCGGACCGGGCCACGGAGCGGATCATGACCCGATCTGAAGAAAGTGGGTTCAGATCAGAACCACCAAACGGTTCCAGTATCAGTTACATCAGAACCGTTTCCTGTGTTATTTCTAAATGACATCAGCTGCAACGTCACAAACATCCACGTGAAAAACGATTCACAGCTTCAGGAGTTTTGGGTCATTTTAGGCCAAATGAAGGCAGAACAATCATTCTGAGTCTTTGATGATCTGTGTTTCCTGCCAGAGGTTTGGCTCAGAGGAACGCGGGCAGCCACGAGTCGGGTCACACGTCTCCGGCTCAAAGGCGTCTCTGTCTCACTGCCTGACCGACGGCGAGCGGCTGAGGTCAGAACCTGAAGGCGTCCGTTCATCCAGCAGCGACGCAGAAAATCCACCAGACCGGAACCCGGAACCGGCTCCAAACCAGGAGTCAAACCTGCAGCTCATCACGATGTCACGGTGTGAGATCAAAGCAGCAGAAATCCGTCCAATCAGAACGTCTCCAGAGACCCGAACCAGGAAATGGAGGAAAACAGAGGAAGAACCAGAAGCTCTGGAGGAGCTGCAGAGCCCGCGGCTCAGGTTGCACCAAGGTAAATAATACGACCATTAGGTCCCTAAAGGGGCCACTAAGGTCACATGACTGATGCAACTCATGAGCTGCTAACAGTGAATAAAATATTTTCAATTATTTTCTTGTCAAAACATTTGAACTTTTCAAACTTTTGGGTCAGAAAACAAACCAAACATTTTGTTATTTTCCTGGGTTTATTTTTATAATTAAAATGTTCTCACAAAGTGATCGATCAGCTTGTTCATCTGATCACGTTTATTGGACATAAACAGCAGAAACCGATGAAAACTGAAACTGAACTTCAGTTCAGAGCCTGTAAAATCTCTAGAAAACCAAAAACAACATTAAACTTTAAAAAACGTCTCAGAATCTAAACTACAAACTTCATGGACAAAAGTTTTAAAGCCATTTTTAGACTTTCTTCCTTTTTTCTACTTTTAATGAAAGTTTTTTGCATTTTCTTCCCAAATGTTTTCTTGGCTCATGAGATGAAACTGGATCAACTGGATCTATTCAGATGAGAAGCAAACAAATGCAGACGTGATGGATCCTCATCATGATGTGTGATGAATGAATGAATCGACAGCAGGACGGCGACCCGATGCTGACCCGAGTTCAGGTCCCAGAACCAGCAGCGGTTCCGGTTCTGGTCCTACATGTGGGACTCGCTGTGCGCGCGCCTGTCGTTCTCCAGGTCGCTGTCCTGGGAGATCAGCTTGTAGGGTTTCTTCCTCTCCTTCTCCTCCACCACAGAGTTCCCCATCTCCACGTCTCGGCTGCGCAGCTCGTGTCGGGACAGGAACTCCACGATGCCGGCGCCGATCGAGTCTCCCAGGACGTTGGTGGTGGTCCGAAGGCGGTCCCTGAGCGGAGAGACGGGTTCTGGTTAGTTCCCTGTTTGGTTTGCTGCGGCGCAAAACCTTCTGCTGATTCTTTAACCGGTAAAAATGAAAATGTTTCAACAGAGACGAGAACAAGAAGGAGTCGTAGAAACGTTTCAGAGAAACTGTCAGTAGAAACATGAAAGGATGCTAATCATTTAGTTAATACTTTAGTTTATAACTTAGTTTATCATTTAGTTTCTCCCTCAGTGAACCTGGAAGTTTTCCTGTTGTCCTGCTGTGAGCAGAACCCGTCCTGAACTGGAGGTCGGCTCCGTTTACCCGTTGCCCCAGTTAGCCGAGCCTTTTACCCATTGCCCCAGTTAGCCGAGCCTTTTACCCATTGCCCCAGTTAGCCGAGCCTTTTACCCGTTGCCCCAGTTAGCCGAGCCTTTTACCCGTTGCCCCAGTTAGCCGAGCCTTTTACCCGTTGCCCCAGTTAGCCGAGCCGTTTCTGGTCCCAGTTTTCTAATTGAAGCGATTAATTTGGGAACCTAATTATGTTTCTATGTTAAAACTCGTGGCTAAAACATTCAACAGGGAAGATGTGGCACGCGGCTCCGGGGAGAAGGAGAAGTGTGTCAGTAGGTGCTGGTAGACGTGGAGCTGCCGTTGACCTTTAAAATGACCCCAGTGGAGCCAGCGGTGACCTTTGACCCGGCCCGCCGGCCAGGTCTGTGTTTATCGTACTCACAGGAACCAATCGACTGCGATGATGAGAGTGATGTCATCAGTAGGAAGCCCGACGGAGGTCAGGACGATCACCATGGTGACCAGCCTGCCTGCGGATGCCGGCGGCGCCGATGCTGGCCGCCGTGGCGGTGATGCTTCAGGAGACAGAAACCAGTGAGTCTTACTGGTCGGGTCGTCCTCCACTGAACCGTCGTCAGGGTTCCGCTCGTTTACCTGATGGTGATGATCTGACCGAAGTTCATCTCCATGTTGTTGACCTGGGCGATGAAGATGGCCGCCAGCGCCTCGTACAGAGCCGTGCCGTCCATGTTGATGGTGGCGCCGACCGGCAGCACGAAGCGCGTGATCCGCTTGTCGATGCGGTTGTTCTCCTCCAGACACTTGAAGGTGACGGGCAGCGTGGCGGAGCTGGACGGACAGGAGAAACGCTTCAGATGGTTATGAATTAGAAATCAGATCATAAACAACATTCATTTTTTGATCTGCCGTTGGACCTTTGGGCAGGACATTTCACCAGCACCACCTGCTGGTGGCCAGCAGGTGGTGCTGTTGCTCGGCGAGCCACTGAAGCAGAGTGATGCATTCTGGGACATTTACTATTCTTCATTTAGCGTCCGGTTGCTTCATGTTGGATCCGTCACCAGGTCAGAGCCTGGTTTTGTTTTGGCTGTGAGTTGAAAGGAGACTTAGAGGAAGACAAGCGGGATTTGAACCTGCAGCTGGGCGTCTGTCCAAGCCTCCGCCGGGTCACAGACACATTTAACCCTTCAAGTCTGAAGCAGAGTGTGGGAAAGTCCCTGACCTGGAAGACGTTCCCAAAGCCGTGACCAGCGCCTGGAGGAGCCCGGCGATGAAGATGAAGGGATTCTGCCGAGTGATGACGAAATACAGCGTGGGCAGGATGAGGACGCCGTGGATCAGCAGCCCGATGATGACGGTGATGGTGTACATGCCCAGCTGGCCTCCCATCTGCGTCAGGTCGTCCATCTCCACGATCTTCCCCGCGATCAGGAACAGGATGCCGACGGGAGCGTACCTGCAAGGAGAGGAAGAGCGGAGTGGCTGCGGGTCGCAGGGCGGCGGCGGCGCGTGGAGACGGACGTTTACCACATGATGATGGCCACCAGGCTCATGATGGCTTCATTCAGGCTGTCGAAGAAGTCTCTGAGGACCTGGCCCTGCTCCTTCATGTTGCCGATTATCAGACCGAAGCACATGGAGAAACCACCAGGCCCAGAGCGTTGACCCCGTTCACCTGGCCAGGTATGGGGATCACCTCCTCCCTGGTGACCTCCATGACCTCCTGGGTGCCGTTGGTGGAGTTGAAGAGCGACTCGTTGACTGTGACCGTCACATGGACCTTCCTCTTTCCATATTTGGTCTTGAACTGTTGGGAGAGGAGAGTTTGAGTTTGATCGTCTCCAGCCGGTTCCTCAGACGGAGGTCGGGTTCTCCTCCTTCACCGGGTCTCAGTCCAACAGAACCTCTACAGGAAGTGAGGAACAGGAAGTGAGGAACAGGAAGTGAGGAACAGGAAGTGAGGAACTGGAGGTCTCTCTGGACCAGAACCTTAGCTGTGACTTTAGCGGATCTGCAGAGGTTTTCCTGCCGCTCAGTTTCAGTTCAAATGAATGAATGAATCGTTTCAGCAAACAGATTCACTTAGTGACTGCATTCGTTTGCCTGTTTCCATGGGAACCACCTGGTTGGACATAAAGTCTCGTTCCTGTCTGATTTATGTTTGATATTCAGATCATAAATGAGGAACCGAGTGAACCGAAATGATTCCTGAAAGATAAAAGCGCCACGCTGTGCAGAGACGCCCTGCAGAGACGCCCTGCAGGCTGTCAGAAGCTGTGATGGAGACGAGGTTAAAGGTCGAGCTCACTGACCTGCTGTGTGCAGGCCTGGACCAGGTTGGGAGGGAACATGTTTCTGAAACGAGACGATGAAAAGCGTTGAGCTGCGACTCGCGGCTGGTTGAACGTTGGGAGCTTTGGGTCTGAAATCACCTGATGAGGTCCAGGAAGGCGTCGGCGGGGCTGACCTGCTCGATGCTCTGCTGCTTCCCAAACTCGTCCTTGGAGCCTTTTCCCGATGGATGATGAGGACGATGATGATCCCGATGAAGACGGCGATGATGGTGGTGGTCATGTAGTAGATCACCGCGCGCATCCCCATCTTTCCTGACGCCTTGCTGTCCAGCGCCGCCATGCCTGAAGCCACAAACGTTTATTATGTGACGACCGCTGGTTTAAAATCACATCCAGACGTGACTGGATGAATCTCTACAGACTCTATGAACTTTGCATAATTAGTCTCTGATATTTTAATGTTTGTCAACAGATATCTTCTAAACTTTTAACATTTTCATCCATAATTATCTGAAAGATTGATTGATTTATCTTTAAAACGACACAAATCATAAATTAACTCTGTTAGAAATAAAAAGATATTTTTGGTCTAAGAAACTAATAATTAAATCTGTTAATGTTGAATTTCAGTTTCCTGTAATTGTTTCTCTCTGTCTTCATTTTGATCTTCATTATAAACTCGACTAAATTTATTCCTGTTTTAAAAATCTACATTTAAAACTTTAAAATACGAAATGTTCAGATTTAAGGTATAAATGACAATATAATGAACAAAACAAAGTGTAGGAGGTGAATAAATGTTAAACTTCTGAATGAACAGACAGGAAGTGCTTTTATTGTGATATCCACAGCAGGAAGTGTCCTTTTAATGTAGCAGTTAGCTTAGCAGTCGGATGATGCTGGAAGTCAGCTACGTTCAGTTTCCAAATAGTTCAGAAAGACATTCATGTGGTCATTAAGATGAGGCTAAAGCTAACTCTAGCAGATTGCTATTAGCCATTAGCATCATAGGATGCTAATGTTCCTTAGAGTGACTTCCTGTCTGTCTCCATCACTTCAGATTAAAACTCCAGTCAGACCTGATTGGTCCAATTGAGACGTTTATCTGATCTTAATGTTTCATCTGGAAGATTCTCTGATTTTACATGAAATGATGGAAAATATTGTTCAGAAATAAATAACAATCTGAGCAATTCCAAACTGAAAGACTTTCTGCCTGAAGGTGTTTCAGGATCTTCATCACTGATGATGACTTTTACTTTCAGACATTTTATTCACATTGAGGCCATTTAAAGGCCGATTGGGTTAGGGTTGGGGTCAGGGTTCATTTCAGACTCAATCTGTTGGGCTGCATGTGGCGCCTGGTAACCTGACGGCGAGCAGCGGATGGATACATGGCGGAGGAATCTGACCGGTGATCAGGCTGGAGACGAGCAGCGGCAGCACCAGCATCTGCAGCATCCTCATCAGAACCTCTCCAGGGAAGGAGAAGTACTTCACCTCCCGGTAGCTCATCCTGTAGGGACGCAGCGCGAAGCCCAGGATGATCCCTGCACAGAGAGGAACCGGTGACTGTCCGCTCGGCCGCGGCGGGACGCGCGGCGGGACGCGCGGCGGGACGCGCGTCCCGCCGCGCGTCCGCCGCTCGGCCGCGGCGGGACGCGCGGCGGGACGCGCGGCGGGACGCCTGCTGAGGGCCACACACCTACGACCACGGCGCCCCCGTGAACAGGACAAACGCGTTCTTCCTCAGGAAGGCCTGGACGTCCTCCTTGGAGATCTCCTCCACTTTCCTCTTGGCCTTCATGGTCCGGATGTGGATCCCTTCCCTGATCCGCTGCATCCTGCTCACACGGAGGAACGCTCCGTTATTCAGCCGGGATTCAAACCCACAACCTCTCACTTCACGGTCTGTTCTGGAAACAGGCTTTTCTAATAAAGAATAAATGAAACGTACTTCCTGTGAGGCAGTGATGTCACCAACATGTCTACCATGAACCGTCACCAAAAACAGTGAACGAATGAAGATTCATTCATTCATGCATTCATTCATCTATGTCACAGTTTAAAACTGAATGTTTAATTAGCTGGTCAACATTTAGCTTCATGCTAGCTCTGATTTAGCGCTAAACATGTAGCTTGCTAACTAATTAGGTTATGAACTAAATATTTAGTTGGAGGTTAAACATTTAGCTTGCTAACTAAATACAAGCTAAATCTTTAGACATTTAGCTCTGAGCTAAATGTTTAGCCATTATGCAAATTTGCTTGCTGATGACCGGAAGTGGAGATGAAAGCATCAGCTGGTCTTACTGGTTTTAACAAAATAACACCCGCTTTTATTTTGACAGTCCACATCCGGTTACTTGAGTACTAGCCAAACAAAGCTAAATATTTAGTGACAAGATAAAATAATAAACCTGTGAAGTTTTTCACAGCATGTTTCTGTCACTCTGACTGTTTGCAGGGAACAGTGGAGGGAACGCGTTCCCACGTCATGTCTGAATATTTCTGATCCCCTCCTGCTGGATGGATGTTGGGCTCCAAAATCTTTTCCAGAAATGTTCAAATCCTGACAGATAAACTGTTTTCAGGTTGAAACTGGAAGCTTTTCCTCAAACTAACTGGGATTCAGATTTCCAGTCAAAGTCAAAGTGAACAAACTGGGACAGCTAACAGTTATTAGCAATCGATTGATCTGTTATTCTGAGGGTTAATCAGTTAATCGGATATTAAAATGGCACAATCATCAAGCCTTTCTATGCAATATATATAATATATGCAATTTTAGAAATTCATTCAAAGATACAAATAAACAATTTAATTCCTTTTAAAAATGAGAACAAACATTGTCTAAACTTTAGTAGCATTGCTTTAGTAAATCAGGTATAACAGCTGAAACAGGTGATGATAAATGTTTTTATCTTAAGGGCAAAATGTATATTTTGTACAGTTTTCAGTTAACAATTAATCGCAGACAAAATTAGAGATGATAATCTTAGTTATCAATTAATCACGATTTAGCCAGAAATGTGATTTAATTTAAAGGTTAAAGTCTGAGGAGCCATTTGATCCAACAGGAGAACCCTGATGATGATGATGATGATGGTGGTGGTGGTGGTGATGAAGATGATGGTGGTGGCGGTGATGAAGACGCTTCCTCTCCTGCTGCATCCTGTCAGTCAGGGAGGATCTGCTCACCTGTCTGCCTCTCGGTCTCAGTGATGCGGCTGCAGAGTCGGAGGAAACTTCCTGATCTGCTGCTGCTGGGCGCTGAGCTGCTTCACCTCCCGCTGCAGCAGAGGGAGGGACGGGACAGGAGGACGGGGCAGGAGACGTCCTCCTGATCCGCTCCGACACGTCACGTCTGTTTGTGAGAATAAACTGAACCGTTTCAGGGAGAAAACAGGAATGAGGTTTGGAGGATGCGCCGCTTCCCGCTGGGGACTCGTGATAGTTCCGGATGGATCCTCAGAGGGAAGCTGCAGCACAATTAGCTGGGAAAGTGGATCTGGAGCGGGAATAGGTGACCTGACTGGCCCCAGGAGGCCGGAGTGAAATTAGAGGATGAGATTCAGACTCTCACACCCAGGAGCCGTGGACGGAATGACCCGTCTGTGCGCCGGTTCCGACTCCTCACAGAGACCCAAACTCTAGGAAATGGTTCTGGTTCTGGTTCCGGATCGGACCACCTTCATCCTCCAATAGTTGAATTAAAACACAATAAAAACACGTCCAGAAAAGCAAAACTCAGATTGAAATCCAAACTTTTAATACATTAAAAAGACCAACACCTTCAATTTCAAATGTTTTTATGGTTAATTCCAATCAGGAGAAAAAGTGGAGATTTATAGAAATTTAAATCCAAAAGTGATGGCCTCATATCCCCACTGTCATGAACAAACTTCATTTTACATATAATGCAAAACTTTAACATAATTAACTGATTTTTCTGGCTGAATGTGTTCATTTATAACCGAAGCATATTATTCAATGCCTTATTTCAGAAATGTGTAACCAGCTATATTCATGTTATTGAGAAGATAAAACATAATAAGCGAAAATGTCTAATTTATCAGAAATTTTGCGCCCTCAGGCAGAACCTCCGCGACCCCGATAGGGGTCACGACTCCCATGTTGAAGTCCTTACGCTTTTGAATCAGTCGCAATTAAAGAGCCGGTTAGCGGCCACAAGATCCGGCTCTTTTAGGAGCCAAATGAAGCGGATCTCGGAGAGAATGTGGAATTCCCAGCACCTGCTGCGTCACGTACGTAGCCAATCCAGAGCAACTCCACGTAAGTTACGTAGATTCGGAGTACGTGCCAAGGTGCCTGGTATGTGTAGCAGCTTTTAGTTTCATGTTTTTCTCTTTATTTAAAGTTTTTTGGTTCTGGTTCTGTTCAGAACCGAGTCGCTGCTCAAGCGCTCCGAGCTGACGAGTTAAATCCGCGGAACGGCTTCGATAAGCGGCTTTAGGGCAGGAGCGAGCCCCGCAGCTAGTAGCTTTAGCTGGTCAGTTGACCAGGTTAGCGGCTAACTAGTTAACCAGCTGCTGTCCTCCTCACAGAGACTCCGGGCTGGAGAGCGGCGAGACCCGGTGACCTTCACGGACTGACGGCTGCACCGGACCGGCCATGGCCCCTCACTAACAGCAGCAGAACCCTCGGTTCGGCTCGGCTCGGCTCGCCATAATCCGGCTTTCAGGTCCCGGTTCCCGCCCCGCTCGGAGGAATGGCTCGCTGCCCGGTGACGAACCTGCTGCGGTTCGGGACCAGGGTGGCCAGGAGCGGCTTCCTGCGGCCGCTGCACGCCGCGGCAGGTTGCTCCTCCACGGAACCAACAACTGGGTTCAAACCGGACAGGGTTGCCGTGGTGACCAAAACCACCCGGTACGAGTTCGAGCAGCAGCGGTACCGGTACGCCGGACTGTCTGAGGAGGACCTGAAGCAGCTGGTAAGGAACTGTTCTGGACGGGTCCACAGTAGGATGGGTTACAGTGGGACTGGGTCATACTGGCAGGGTTTCTGGTCGTTCTAGTCATACTGGTCAGAGTTCTGGTTATACTGGTCAGGGTTCTGGTATTTGTGGTTCTGGGTGGAGGGAAAATTGAGTTTCTGCATGTTTCCACCTTAAAATCTGAAAAGGTGTTGTGCCTGTGTCCAGCCTGAAGCAGCGATGGAAACTCTTTAACCCTTTGTTGCCGCCTCTCCGTTGTGTTTTTGCATCATTTCCTTTTTGCATCATGTCTTCTCGGCCTCCAGTGGGTCGGGGAAGATGGCTGCTTGTACCAAGTTCTGGTTCTGCCGGAGTTTTCTTTGTTTTTAAATGGAGGTTTTCCACTGTCGCCCCCTGCTGGTCAGGAGGAGTGACGCTGTTTTCCACAGCGAGAACTTGTTCTGTGTTTCTGTGCATGTTGGTGTTGACAGCTGAGAACAAAACCCCCATGGCTCCATCACCTCGACCTATGACCTCTGGTTTCTTTCAGCTAGCAATGAAGGGCTCCAGCTACAGCGGCCTGCTGGAGCGCCACAACATTCACACCGGCAACGTGGAGCACGTCGTGCAGAGCCTGCAGTGAGTCCAGCTGCGTGTTGCTGCTTGTTGCTGCGTGTCGCTGCTTGTTACTGTGTTGCTGCGTGTTACTACTTGTTGCTGCGTATTGCTGCTTGTTGCTGCTTGTCACTATGTTGCTGCGTGTCACTGTTTGTTACTACGTGTTACTACTTGTTGCTGCTTGTTACTACTTGTTGCTGCGTGTTGCTGCAGCTCTGACTGTGTCTGCAGGAGCGCTGGCATCCAGGTGCGGGTGGTGAGGAGAGGGGAGTACGACGACGAGGTGGTGAGGTGGGCCGACGCCATCGTCTCTGCTGGAGGTAAGCTCCGCCCCTCTGGTCGTGATAACCAATCAGAGCTCAGCGCCGTTGCTAATGTTTAGTAGCTGGAACAGTTTCTGTAAACTTCAACCTTCAGACAGAAATAATGTGTAACCATGGCAACAAGGTCCTGTTGGCGTCTATAAAGCTGAAATAACCCCTGACCTTTGACCCCACACTGTCCGCTGGTACACTGGCTGTTACAGGAGATCCTGCAGCATCACTCAATTATTGGGTCAAATCCTGCAGAACTTCTTGGTTCTGGAGGTCCGGTTCCTCCTGAGAACGGGCCGTGGGTCGGTTCTGCTAATGTTGGGTTCATGTTTTCTGTGATATTCTTGGTTAGAAAAATCACGCAGAGAAAATGTGGGTACGATGTCTTTTTATCGTGGAACGTGGGAAACATACAGCCACATCAATACTGCTTCTCAGCTAACACACTGTAATAAACTGGCCTACTCAGAACTATACCTGGAACTGGTATGTTGGTATTTCTTACCAGTAGGGGGCAACAAAACAATCTATTACATTCCTCCCCTTTTAGATTTTTACTGCAAACAATAAGTAGGAAAGAATGCATACTAAACAGCAAATAAAATATTCTACTGCCTTCACTAAGAATTTACCAATTTAGGCTTTCCTAAATTTTATCACCTCAAAAATCACTAGCCTTAACTAAATTATACTATACACATTTTCAAAGACTCAATCTCTTTGGAGGAACTCTGTGCCTCACAGGATATCTGCGCTCTGCTGATGGGCTTTGGGTTGTTTTAGGGGTAGATACTGATGGTTCTTCTGTTGTCTGCCCAGGTGATTCAGTAGGTAACGGTGGTGCTGTTAGGGTTCCTCTTTGACTTTCCGGAACAACACAGTCGCTGATCTCTTCGGGTTCCTCCATGAGCACTGGGGGAGACATAACTGGAGATTTCCCCACAGCTTGTTTCCATGGTAACATGTGATCAACATGTATGGTGCGCGTTCTCTGTCCGTCTTGTATCTGATAAGTGACGCTTCCCAGTTTCTTCAGAACTGTTCCACAGGTCCACTTTCCAAATCCTCCTCTGAAATTTCGGACACGAACAGTCTGTCCTTCCGAAAAAACACGTAAAGGTGGAGCTCTGCGATCATGATGTTGCTTTTGCTTGAACTGTCTTTGTTTAATGTGTTGGGCCAGTTCAGGTTTGAGAAGACTGAAACGGGTTCGGATCTGACGTTTCAGGAATAGCTCTGCTGGTGTGCAACCTGTCACCGTGTGTGGTGTACTGCGATACATGATAAGGAAATTTGCCAATCGATGACTGAGTGGCAATGTAGCTTTTCCATCTACTTCCAGTACATTTTTCATCAAAGATCACTTCAGGATTTGTACTGACCTCTCTGCTGCTCCATTTGATGCAGGGTGATATGCAGGAACAGCTGTGTGACGGATTCCGTTTAACTCCAAAAACTTGCTAAATTCTTGTGACACCAACTGAGGTCCATTGTCTGATACAAGTTCTTCTGGAAGTCCATATGAGGAGAATAACCTTCTTAAGATTTCAATGGTATTGTGTGATGTGATGGATGTCATCGGGAAAACTTCCAACCATTTTGAATGACTGTCAATGACTGCCGGCAATTTCTGCACAGCCTGACAGATTTGACAGCTTTGGACCAGTTCTTGTATGTCACCATCACACCCTGGCCACCAGAGGTAACTGCGGGCGAGAGCTTTCATACGACATATGCCTGGATGTTCATGATGTAGGTCTTTCAGAACTTTCTGTCGGAAACTTGGTGGGATGACCACACGTTGTCCCCAAAGAACACATCCTTGTTCCGCTGACAGTTCATATCTGCGAATGAAATAAGGTTGAAGTGTTTCATCCTGTACATAACTTGGCCACCCATTCATGGTGTAGCTCCACACTTTGCTGAGCAGCGGATCTTTCATGGTCGCCTTCTCAATGTCTTTAGCTACTACTGGTAGTTCGTCCACATGAGAGAAATAGAAGATACTTCCTTCCTCTGCAGTGTTATCTGGTGAATTTCGCGGCAAACGTGACAACGCATCCGCATTAGCATGGTCAGCTGATCGTCTGTATTCTATGTCATAGTTATATGCCATTAGAATAAGAGACCAACGTTGCATCCTCAAAGCAGCAAGTGTTGGCACCGCTGACTTTGGTCCCAGTATAGCCAACAAGGGCTTGTGATCTGTTACGAGTGTGAATTTCCTTCCATACAGATATTTGTGGAATTTCTTTACTCCAAAAATGATGGCCAGAGCCTCTTTCTCTATCTGGGCATACTTCCGCTCAGCATCGGTTAGTGTTCTTGATGCAAATGCCACAGGCCTTTCCTCTCCGTTTTCCAAGATATGAGAAATGACTGCACCTACCCCATAAATTTCAATGGCAGCTGTGTGCTATAATGCACCAACACTTTGTTCTGCAACAGTAGTCTTTTTGCACCCTCAAATGCTTGTGAGCATTCTGTTGTCCAAACCCATGTTTCATCTTTTTTCAACAAGTTGTGGAGAGGCTGAAGGATAGTGGATGGATTGTTCAGAAATCTACTGCAATAATTCAGAAGACCCAAAAAGGACTTCAGTTCAGTGACATTTGTTGGTTCTGGTGCTTTTGTTATGGCTGCAACTTTTTCCTCCATGGGGTGCAGTCCATCTTTGTTAATCCTATGCCCCAAATATTCCACACTGCTCTGAAGGAAACGACACTTTGCAAGCTTAACTCTCACACCATGCTTCTCCAGGCGTGTGAGAACTTCGTCCAACCTCTGTAGATGTTCCGTCTCAGATGAAGCAGTGATGAGAATATCATCCAGGAAACAGGTCACATGATCCATCCCTTGAAAAATCTGATCCATCACAGACTGAAAAAGAGCAGGAGCGCTGGAAACGCCATAGCTGAGGCGAGTGTACTTGTAGAGGCCTTTGTGAGTGTTGATGACCAGATACTTCTCTGACTCTTCATCTAACTCTAACTGCTGGTAGGCATGTGAAAGGTCCAGTTTACTGAATGACGTCCCTCCCGCCAAAGTAGCAAAAAGGTCTTCAGCATTGGGAAGTGGGTAATTTTTCTCTTCAATGCACTGATTGATGCTGACCTTGTAGTCACCACAGATCCTAATAGTTTTGTCAGTTTTGGGCACAGTAACAATGGGAGATGCCCATTCACTTCTCTCAACCTTTGAAATCACCTTCACTTTTTCTAATCTGTCCACTCTTTTTCCACAGCTTCCTTTAGTGCATAAGGAACTGGGCGAGCTTTACAGAAAACTGGTTGAGTGTTTGGCTTAATGCGAATTCGGGCCTTAAATCCCTTGATGCAGCCTTGGTCATCCGAAAACACTGCTTGATGGCGTAGGATCACTTCCTGTAATCCTGGTTTTGCATCTGTTGGCACTAATACCTTGTGTACTGTGAAAATCTGTTTCCAGCTTAGCTGTAGTTTCTTTAACCAGTTTCGTCCAATCAAGGATGGTCTGTTTCCCTGAACAATGATCAGTGGTAAAATAGTCTTTTGTGTTCCATACTGTACTGGTACAACTACATAACCACGAACAGCGATGCTTTGGCCTGAGTAGGACTTCAACTTTAACCCAACTGGTTTATAGGGAACTGGGTCAGATGTGACTGGTAATACTTGTCACCACTGACACGGCTGAACCTGTGTCCAGCAACATGGTGGTGTTTTTGCCTCCCAGTAACACGTCAACTGTGTAACCTTTTCACTGGAAGCGACAGAGTACACTGAATAAACTCCAAAAAGTTCGGCTTCATCATTTCTTTTTGATGCATTGTCGTCAGTTTCCACATACTGAGTTTGCTGTCTGCTTTTTTTATTCCTGCAAGCACGAGCAATGTGTCCTATTTTTGCACAAAAATGACATTGTTCATTTCTAAATCTGCAGTCGTGTGCCGAATGTTTTCCACCACATCGATAGCATGGTTGCTTTGTTTCTGTCTCTTTTGTAGACCCCATCCAGCTCTTAATTTTATTTTATTTTTCTCTTTTGTGTTCTGTCCCTTCCACCCTCTTGTAGAAAAAATTGGGACATTTGTCAGGGCATTTACTTGGTGAGGATCATGGTGTCCAGAAAACTCCATAGTATTCTTGGAAGCAAGTTCCCATGCTCACGGCAATCTCACACGCACGTGAAAAAGTAAGATCTTTTTCTGCCAGGAGCTTGCGCTGCACAGCCTCCGAGCGCAAACCACTAACAAAAACGATCTCTCAGCGCCTCATCCAAATATTGTCCAAAATTACATGTGGCTGACAACTGCCTCAAGGCGACAACGTAGTCTGATACTGGCTCTCCTTTCCTTTTGGTTACGTTTTTGGAAGCGAAAACGCTCAGCTATCACCACTGGTGTCGGCTTATAGTGTGCTTGTAACACTGCAGTGAGCGCTGCATACTCCATTGTGCTCGGTACTTTCGGAGACACAAGATTCTTTAGCAGCCCGTATGTATCTGCTCCGATCACAGAGAGAAAAGTGCAAACCATCTTCTCATCCGGAATATCATTAGCCAACATCCACTGCTCAAAATCTTCCTTAGATTCATCATATTCAACTACACAACCCACGTGCATAGCCATATTAGCTTCTCGATGCTAAATCTTGCAGCCTTGAAAAAAAAACCCCAACAACATTCGGTTGTTTCCCTTACTGCCAGGCTCGTCTTTTACGCTGTGGAAATCTTTATCATCCTCGTCGCCAGTTGTGATATTCTGGTTAGAAAAATCACGCAGAGAAAATGTGGGTACGATGTCTTTTTATCGTGGAACGTGGGAAACATACAGCCACATCAATACTGCTTCTCAGCTAACACACTGTAATAAACTGGCCTACTCAGAACTATACCTGGAACTGGTATGTTGGTATTTCTTACCAGTAGGGGGCAACAAAAACAATCTATTACATTTTCTCTGCTTGTTTATGAAATAAGAACTTAAAATGCAGATTGGACCGTCTCTGGTTCTGGTTCTGATAACAGTTTGTGTTCCAGGTGACGGGACGATGCTGCTGGTGGCCAGTAAGGTTCTGAACAAGGACAAGCCGGTTGTTGGGGTGAACACCGACCCAGAGAGGTAAGCCGCCCATGTTTAAGCCCCGCCCCCTGCATCACCTGCTTCACCTGGCCGTCTCTCCCACAGGTCAGAAGGTCACCTGTGTTTGCCGGTGCGATACACCACGCCTTCCCAGAGGCTCTGGAGCGGCTCTGCCGTGGTGAGTTCAGGTGCGTATTCACCTGGTTCTCGTGGTGAGTTCAGGTGTGTGTGTTGCGGCTGGGTAACTCTTAAGTTCAGGTTAGCGAGTCACATGGTGCTCCGCTGCGTGTCCCGGGACTCGGAGGCGACTCGTTGATCCTCTGCTTAGTGCTGCAGAGCGCCATGCTGCTGCCGCCGACACGCCAGCTCTGATTGGCTTAGAGCTTCAGCTGGTCTTAGCCGCAGAGATCAGGCTGTAAGCTGTGAGCTTAGCGATCGCAGCTCATCGCTGGAACAGGAAGTGGAGCGAAGATGATTCCTGGTTTCCTAGAAAACCAGCTGGAAAGTGTGGCGTGCCTTTGTCCCAGAGGTCTCTGCAAAGGTGAGCAGAGACCCGACGAATCAGAGGGACTGGAGATAAAAGCACCCACACTTTTCAGATTTTCTCTGAAAAGTGTGGTGTGAATTCTTTTGTCTCGGTGTGTAAATCTGGAGTTTCAGACAGTTGGATTAAAAAGCAGCAGGTGAGATTAAGTTTAATCCCAGGATGAGCAGAAACGGGACAATAAAGGTTCTGTTCAGTCCAGATCCTCTTAACCTGGAGGAAGAGGAGGAGGATGAAGAGTTCAGTCTGTAGCTAGCTGCTAACATCCCTGTAGCTGACGCTAGCTTTTAGCCTCCCTGTAGCTAATGCTAGCTGTTAGCCTCCCTGTAGCTAACGCTAGCTGCTAGCCTCCCTGTAGCTGACGCTAGCTTTTACCCTCCCTGTAGCTGACGCTAGCTGTTAGCCTCCCTGTAGCTGATGCTAGCTGCTAGCCTCCCTGTAGCTGACGCTAGCTTTTAGCCTCCCTGTAGCTAATGCTACTTGTTAGCCTCCCTGTAGCTGACGCCAGCGGCCGGCCTCCCCATCAGAACCGGGCCCAGCTGTTCTCTTGTGTCCAGGTGGTTGTGGCGCCAGCGGCTCCGGCTGGACCTGGAGGGAACCGGGATCAACCCGACCCCAGTGGACCTGCATGAGCAGCAGCTGAGCCTGGAGCAGCACAACCGGGCCCACCGGATCAGCACCGTGGAGCGGCAGCAGAGTACGCCTCACAGAACCAGGACACCCATTAGAACCGTCCTTCAGAGGAATCGGTTCCGGTTCCGGAGGCCCGGTTCTGGCAGTAACCAGAACCGTGTCTGTGCTTCGTTTCAGGCGGGAGCGCTGCACCCGGCCTATTCAAAGCCCAGCCTGCTGCCGGTGCGCAGCCTGAACGAGATCTTCATCGGGGAGTCTCTGTCCTCCAGGTACCAGTCCGGCCCGGCCCGACCCGACCCGCCGGCCGCATGTCCGTCCAAACTCACGCCTGACTCTCTTCCACCACAGGGCCCAGCTAAAAGTCTTCACTCCCCGTCTCTTCCTCCATAGGGCGTCCTACTACGAGATCTCGGTGGACGGCGGGCCCTGGGAGAAGCAGAAGAGCTCCGGGCTCAGCGTGTGCACCGGAACCGGGTCCAAGGCCTGGTGAGTCCGGACCGGGACCAGAACCTCATTCTGAACCTTAGCCGTTTCTGTCCCAGTTCTTCAGAACCTAACGGTTCTTAACCGGTTCCTTACCGGAGCGCCGCTCAAAGAATTCAGCCTCTGCTGTTTAATGATCCGATATCAACAAATCGCCGATCAATAAATGTTGATTGACCTGCTGGTTTTTCTTTGGCCTTTTCTGTTTTTAACTATTTTTAGTTTATTTGTTCTTCCTGCAGGTCGTACAACATCAACAAACTGGCTGAGCAGTCGGTGGAGGAGGTTCTACGAATCGGTACGTAAAACGGCCCGGTTCGGAGTGACTCGGCCCGGTTCGGAGTGACTCGGCCCGGTTCGGAGTGACTCGGCCCGGTTCGGAGTGACTCGGCCCAGTTCTGAGTGAAACGGCCCGGTTCTGATGTTCTGTTGTCTGCAGGAGCGTCTCAGGCTGGAGTTGAATTCGCACTCAGCAGGGAGTTTGTAGGGAAAGGTGAGTTTCTGATCCAGTGGAGCAAGTTCTGGTTCTGATGTCTTTGGTTCTGGTTCTGATGTCTTTGGTTCTGGTTCTGATGTCTTTGGTTCTGGTTCTGATGTCTTTGGTTCTGATGTTTCCTGGTTCTGGCCCAGTAACCGATGACTACAACGCGTCCCTGGTGTTCGCCCCAGACGAGCCCCGCCTCTTCTTCAGCGTCAGGGAGCCAATCAGCAACCGCGTTTTCTCCAGCAGCAGGCAGAGAGGCTTCGCCAGCAGGTCAGTGCTTTGACTAGGCCGTCCAGCGCGGACAGGAAGCGGTGAACGCTGCGGCTTCTTCTGCTCCTGCAGGGTGTGCGTCCGCTCGCGGTGCTGGGACGCCTGCATGGTGGTGGACGGCGGCACGTCCTTCGAGTTCAACGATGGCGCCATCGCCACGGTAACCGTAAACGAGGAGGACCGGCTGCGGACCGTCCTGCTGGACCAGTGAGGCCGGTCGGCATGGAGACAGGATCAAGATTGACTCACTAAGCCCATAATGAAGTTCTGATCCAGAATAGAGAGCAGAGCTGCTGCACCATGTGACCAGCTCTGCTCTGATTGGCTCAAACCAAACGTCCAATCACAGGACAAAGATCTAAAACCCATAAACACACTGGACCAGTTTACCCAGCAACTGATGCAGACATCCCATAATAAACCATTTTTATCTGTACTGCATCGCCGCTGCCTCACAGAGTCTGCCTCTGGTTATTTAACCCGACCGTCAGAACCGGATCCGAACCGGGGAAAGCAGCCAGAAGGAGAACCGGACGAGTATTCACACCCATTACGTTCTGATCAGAGCTGAAATGTTAACGCCTTCATTCTATTCAGATTTACAGCGCAGCTACACCCGCTAGCTGACGCGCAGCTACATCCGCTAGCTAGCTGACGCGCAGCTACATCCGCTAGCTAGCTGACGCGCAGCTACATCCGCTAGCTAGCTGACGCGCAGCTACATCCGCTAGCTAGCTGACGCGCAGCTACATCCGCTAGCTAGCTGACGCGCAGCTACATCCGCTAGCTAGCTGACGCGCAGCTACATCCGCTAGCAGCAGCGATGGAAGCTGCTGCTCTGATCAGTTGTTTCTACTCCTCTGATTGGTCGCTGTGATCGGTCCGCCTCGCAGTCTGGACCTGGAACCAGTAGGAACTGGTTCCTAGCAGAGAAGCTATGCTAGCCTAAACTAGCATCGCAATGCTAACGTAGCATTTCCTGTCCAACACTTTCGATTGAAATGTTGCTGATTTTGTCGACAGTTTTTGATTGAAACCCTGAAATATTTAAATGGTTTTTATTTAATATCAGTGTTTTATTGCGATGGACAAAAGCAGAGCGACAGGAAATGATTGATGATGGATTATTTTCTCTCCACCAGCCGTTCAGACATAAACCAGTTTCCCTCATTTTTCTCCAAAGGTCTGAAAATCAGCTACTGTTTCCTTTGACTAGACCATTTTGACCCATGGGCTCAGTAACCTTTACAGTCCAAAGAGCCGTTTTTATTCTTATAATTAACTAATAAAATGTATTTATAGAACCGTAAAACCTGCAGGGCCCTTCAGAATAAAAGCTTTTCAAGTTTTATGTTAATTATGTTTCACAGTTATAAGAAAGACCTACAAATATGTATGTAGTTTAGAGTTTGAAACTATTTTATTCATTTTTATTGAATATATGGAAAATCATGTAGAATCAAAATTAAATAAGTGAAAATAAAAAAGTTTTTGATTCTGTTTTGGAAAATTGATGCAAATTTAACATGAAATCAGTAAAAATTCAGTTCCAGACATTTTAATCGTAATTAAAACGTTTCAGTTTGCAGGCAGCAGATTTGATTCGACGCTTTCAGGAATAAAAATTCATATTCAGTTTTATTCAGAATCAAAAGGTTCGTTACTCTGAATAAACTTCCAATCACTGATGAGTTTTTTCATTTTATTTGCATTGAACCGTTTTTAAAGTCTGACCTGGATCCGGTTCTGGTCATAGTGATGCAGCAGCAGGTCAGAGGTCAAAGGTTAAATAATAGTAGAGCCTCAGGTTGTGTTGCTGAAGAAAGTTTGAATTTTGTTAGTTTGTAGAGGGAAGCAGGTCAGAACCAGAGCTGCTGGTTCTGGTTCTGGGCGGAGATGCTGCAGCAGCGTCACAGCGCGGCATTCTGGGAAAATCTCACTTCTGGAAATGATTGTTACAAAACATGAAAACTGTGACATCAGCAGCTCATGAACTGGTTTCTAACCAGCAGTGACTCCCAGTCCGGACCCGAACCAGTGGGTTCCTGCTGGGAACGCCGTCCCTGCTGGGAACGCCGTCCCTGTTCCCATTCCTGGGATGTTTGTGTTTTAATAAAATGTTTTACAGCCGCTCTGTGTTTGGCTTTATTTGGTAGACATGTTTCAAACATGAACAGAAATAGAAAGTTTTGACAGACTGGATCAATAAATTCTGTTCCTGAAGTTTCTGAGGATGAAATCCAGACAAAAAGATTCAGACCTGGAGGATGGATGATCCCACAGCTTCTGAGCTGCTTCAGATATGAAAACCAAACATGACAGAATAAAAACATTTTTTACATAAAACTATTTTAAGTCACTCCAAAGGCTCTGATACACATTTGTCTTTTCTTGGGTAAATAAACCTGCTTTAAGACGAGCACTGATGCCCTGACCATATGGCGGCGGCAGAAGCTGAAATAAGGCTCGGTGATAACAGCAGAAACAAGTTTGAATCCCAAAATAATTGACTTTTTTCAAGTTCTTCAGAAAGTCATCTTGTATTTTTATGTTTACATTAATTATAACATTCAGAAGTTCCGTTTGGATCACATTTTCCTTTTTTGTAGTTTTTCATTTTGGAGATTTAATATTTTAAATGTTTTACATTTTTGTAGATTTTTAAATTTTTTAAAATCAATTTATTTAGTATTTTCTTTTAATTTTGTTGCATATTCAGTTATTTTTAGCATCGTTTTTAGTCCGGAGTTTTGCTTCGAGAAGCGGAAGTGACGCAGCGTCGTTAAGCGGCTCCATTTCCGTTCAGCGACCTTGTTCCGTTTGAACGTCTTTAGACAGAGAAGTTGAAGAAACGTTTCTGTTTTGCTCTTGTTTGGAGTTTAATCTGATTTATTTCACATCATTTCTCATCAATATTCTCCGGTTTCCGGTTTAATTTCAGGATTTTATCAACCGGGTCTTTATTTTCATCACGTGATCTGGTAAGGCTGTCACCATGGTGACACTGGCTTCGCTGAAAATGGCCGCCGCGGCACCGGAAGCGTCCGGCTGAGTTTAGGCAGTTCCGGTTCGGTTCTGGTTGAAACTTCAGAACCGTGAAGATGTTCGCTGATGAAGATCTGGACTCTGTGAGCGTGGAGTCCGTGTGGAGGAAATCCCAGCAGGGGGCGCAAAGTCGGTAAGAGTTCAGAGGTCAGCCGCGGCTGATGCTCATCTGGTTCTGTTCTGAGTGACCCGGTTCTGGTTCTGTTCTGAGTGACCCGGTTCTGGTTCTGGTTGTTCCAGAGAGCCTGTCAGACCCCGCTGTGACCACCGAGCACGCTGGAGTTCAGGCCGGTCCAAAGCCTCCAGGTTCACCCAGACGGAACCACAGGAGCAGATGGACCCGAAACGAGCCTTCAGTGGTTCTGGTTCTGATCCACCCGGGTGGTGGATTTTCTGAGGCGGGTCGAGGAGCTGCTCATCCGGGAGCTGGAGAAGAACTGCAGGAGTCACGCTTTTGACGGGTTCCGGGCAAACTGGGAGGAGAGAAGCCAACAGGTGAGTGGAAACAACCTGCAGAGAGAGGACAGCGACCCAAAGGACATCAACAGGGACTCATATGGAAGCTCCGAAAGGCAAAAACACAACATCTATAGAAGCCCCAAAAGGCAAAAACACAACATCTATAGAAGCCCTGAGAGGCAAAAACAAACATCTATGGAAACTCTGAGAGGCAAAAACACAACATCTATGGAAGCTCTGAAAGGCAAAAACACACATCTATGGAAGCCCCAAAAGGCAAAAACACAACATCTATAGAAGCCCAAAAGGCAAAAACACAACATCTATGGAAGCCCCAAAAGGCAAAAACACAACATCTATAGAAGCCTGAGAGGCAAAAAACAGGACAGGAAGGATTTGATTGAAATGTTGGTCAGATTTTGTCTTTTTTTTGCTCACCTTTCAGGGAAAGAACAATTCTCTAAATAAGAATATTCCTAAGATGTTTTTTTTGTCCTCAGACTTTATTTTTACTAGCAGATGGAAGACTAATGACATTTGACTCTTCAAAAGAATTATTAGTTTATGAATATGTGTGTTTTTAGTCAGAAAGATTCATTTGAAAACTTTGCTTTTGTACTTCACCATTTTTATGTGTTCTTTGGGTTATCCATATTAATGTTGACATATTTACGGAAGCCCTGATTGGCCAAAAAAAACTTGAGAAATCAAATTCTGACAAGAAATGAGGAACTGGTGAGACTGGGATTGTCCCTCAGGTCCTGATGTCCTGTTTCATCTGGACTGTATGGAGGAACATTAGTGGAAAATGTTGACAGGATGTGATGTTTGCAGGTTTCCCATCTCCACAGACTGGAACATCCCGGCGCTCAGGAACAAGGCCTCCATGTGCCGGCGTGTCCTGGAGCTGCACCGGGTCGGTCATCGCCTGCGCCTACGGTCGGTACGTTCACTCATAATTCACACTCCGCCGCTTAAACCTGGAGAATCATTTAGTTTTATCACAAAAACTCACTTTTATAGGTTCTGTTGGCATATTCAACAGAATACCGTGTTGGTGTAGCGCATTAGCATTAGCATCAGTATTAGCTGATACTGCCTCCCTTCCAGATTCCAACCAGGAATCAAATTTTTCTGTAACTCTGATCCGTTTGGACCGGCCCGGTTCCATCATGTCGTCGTGTTTCCCTCAACAGAACCGACGATGGAGACTGGACCAACCAGAAGTCGTGTGTCTGCCTGTGGAACCTGACCGGCGCAGCCTGAGGCCCAAACAGCCGGACCTGGTTCTGGACGTTCCTGCAGCCGTCCACCGCCGTGTGCTGCCACCCGAGCGGCCCGCGCTGATCGCAGGTCCACAGAAACCAGAACCGGACGCCTCAGCGCCGCCGGGCCAGAGCTCACCGGTCTGTGTGGTTTCCTGCAGGAGGCCTGTACAACGGGGAGGTGGTGGTGTGGGACACCAGCCGGACTCAGGACCCGGTTCTGGCCCAGACCGGCATGTCAGCAGACAGCCACAGGGAGCCGGTGTATCAGGTAGAACCCAGCAGAACCAGAACCCAGTGAAACCACAATGCAGCTTTGATGGTTCTGCTGTGTTGATGTGGCGCCGGCCCGGTGTTCTGCTCGCAGGTGTTCTGGGTTCCGCTGGAGAAGAAAGGAGAGTTTGGAGTTCTGAGTTCCAGTTCTGGAGGCGGGGTTCTGCTGTGGACGGTGGACCCGGACCAAAGCAGGATGGTTCTGGTCGCTGCTTACGCCTTCGTGCAGCAGCAGGTTCCACAGCAGCACAGTCTGAAGGTGAGACCAGAACCAAACCGGACCCGTGGAGGTCGGACTCTGGTTCTGGTACAAAAGTTCTGATCCGGACTTTTCCGTCCTGGTTCTGATCATTTGGAAGCTAACGCGCTAATGTCAGTCAGATTGTATTTAGATGTTTGGATTTTCTCAGTTTTATTTTGTTCCTGTTCTTGTTTTAAATAAAGTTATTGCACAGGAAATGGATCTGCTGTGTGAATAGACTTCAAAATAAGAGCATATATATATAAATATCAACTCGTTCAAGAATTTTAAAGTCAAAAGCAAAACTTAAAAACCTTCATTTTGTTCAACTGAACCGCAGAGTAAATCATTTATTATCAGAAACATTCATTTAGGGGAAGCTAAGTGCGCTAAGCTAAGCTGATTTAGCTTAGCGCATCAGCAGCATTGTGCTGAGCACTGATGACCTCTGACCCGTTTGGTTCGGCCCCGCAGTCCGCGGCAGCAGCACGGTGGCGTCACAGCGACGGCTCTGTCTCCGTGACCCGGACCACGTTCCTGTCGGGTCCGAAGGCGGCCTGCTGCTCCGCTGCTCCTTCTCCTCACAGACGCCGGCCGCGGTGACCTCTGAAGGTCGCAGCGTGACCCCCAGGGCTCCCGCCGTGTTCTCCTTCAGGCCGTCCGGCGGCCCGGTCCACTCCGTCCACTGCTCGCCGTTCCACCCGTACGACCCGACCCGGACCGATCGGGCTCTGCGCTCCGGCGATTCTCTCTGACCGACTCGTCTCTGCAGGAACCTGTTTTGCCAGCGCGGGAACCGACGGCCTGGTCCAGGTCCGCTCGCTGCTGCAGCCCGAACCCGCTGCTGTCCGTCCCGGGTTTCGGACTCCTACGTCTTCCAGGTCCAGTGGTCCCCCCAGCCGCCCGCTGGTGTTCGCCGCCGCCGCCGCCGGGCCAGGTGAGCCCGACCGGGGACCGGCAGCTTGCAGACGAACCCGACCGGATCTGACCGAACTCTGTTCTCCAGGTGAGGTCCAGATCTTCGACCTCGCCCGGAAGTCCCTGCGACCCGCCGGTACCACCCAGGACGGCGCTCCGGGTCGGACCGCCACCTGCCTGGCCTTCAACAGCCAGAACCCCCGGCTGCTGGCGGCGGGCCGGTCCGACGGGTCGGTCGGCATCTGGCAGCTCAGCTCGGACCTGACGGAGCAGAGACCCTCAGAGAGCCTGCAGCTGGAGCAGATAGCCAATCAGGTGGCAGAGTGACGGGGCTCACAGCCAAACAGGGGAAGTTTTCGGTACTGGACTAACTGGGAAATAAAGGAGTCGGTTTCCAGTGGTAACCAGTAGCGTTTATTGAAGCACACACTTTAAAGTTTCACTACAAGCAGTTAAATAGGACAGACGGTGAGCGGCCTAGTGTCAGACATGCATCGGCCAGGTGTGTTAGGGGAACGCCTCTGATTGGCCGCTGGGGAAAGGGCGGGATCAGTTGACGAACAGCGAGCGCGTGAACTCCACGAAGTCGAACGCCGACGGCAACTCGCGGCCCTTGCTGTCCAGGACGGCTTCATGTGCGACAGGCAGTAGTCGGCCTGCTCCTTGGTCAGGTTCTGGAAGGAAGAACAGAACCGTGAGCCGGGCCCGCAGGCGGAACCGGGCCGGAGCGGAGCCGCACCCACCTGGTACAGCTCCTCCTTGGTGACGTAGGGCTTGTTCTCGGCGCTCAGCGCCCGGAAGGCGCTCTCGATCTCCTCGCTTGACTTGACTCCGTCTCCCGGCTGATCATGAAGGCCATGTACTCCTGCAGCGACACGTTCCCGTCCCTGAAACAGAACCGGACCGGTCAGGAAGCAGAACCACAGCTG